GTGAATGGAAAGAAAAATCTGAATTTTAAGAACTTAAGGATTCAAATACTACAGCTTTCAAAGGAATCGCTCTGAAAAAAGATGCAAATATTTTAAAGATGTTACAGTTGACTAAAGGCATTTTATAATTTTTCTCTGTAAGTGCCCAAGAGGTCCAATTTCATACCAACTGACATCACTCAAATTCCAAATGATAAGCTCAAAGTGCTTGAAGCAGTGACGGCATTCTAAGTTTAAGTCTGTAACTTCCCATGGCATCCATTTAGGTTGCTTTTCTTTCCAAAGATGATTTATGGTAGTTAAGTGACTGTTTTGATTAAAAATACCCAATCACTAGATAGGCTGATTAGACCTCAAATTAGACTTGCACTGAGGAACGTCTGGGGACACTGACTTGACACTTTGGACCTTAACATGGATGACAGAGTATATGGGTTGGGGGGGTATATCAGAGGGTACTGGTGGGACGGGGGTGTAAAGATGATTAAGATAGTTTGATTCTGTATAAAATACACAAAAATTCAATAAAAACAAAAAAACTAACAAAACAAAAAATACCCACTCACGAGGCTGGAGAAATGACTTACTGGTTAAGAGCACTGGCTGCTCTTACAGAGGACCTGGATTCATTTCCCAGCATCCACATGGCAGCTAACAACTGTCCTTAACTCTAGTTCCAGGGGATCTAATGCCCTCTTCTGGCCTCCATGGGCAATGCATGAATGAGTGTACTTAAATTCATGCAGGCAAAACACTCATACACATAAAATATAAATAAACAAATAATTAAAACCCCACTCATTTAGATATGAATTGTTTCTAAAAGTTGTAGTCACACAACTACCAAAATCCTTCTAAAACCATAATTGCAAAGCATTCCAAAAATCAGCATATCAAATTACATTGAACCTACCTAGATTTAGAAATGCAAACAAATGTTTTTTTAAGTTAGCATACAAAGCAATAGGTTTCATTACGGCATTTTTACATATACATGTCATTTGACTTTGTTCTTATTCACAGACAAATGTTTTTAAAAAGATACCCCAGGGACTGGAGAGCCTGCTCAGAAAGCTTGCTAACAATAACAACCCTGAGGACCTTAAATTCAGATCTCAGCAGCTACATAACAAAGTGGGCTTAGCCTCTAAATCCCAGCATGGGGAGGGGGTGGCACAGGAAAGGTCTCCCTTGGGCAGATACAGAAAGATCTCTGGAGCTTGCTGGCTGCCAGCCTAAGAGGAAAAAAAAAAAAAACCCCCACAAGCTACAGGTTCAGGGAGAGACCCTGCCTGAAAGGACTACCGAAGAGTTATAGAAGATGCAGTCCTCTGGCCTGGCCACACACACCACGCTCACATGTACATACGCATGTACACACAAAAAAAATACACACCAGAATATAAAGAATGATGCACAGGATAAGATTGTGAGATATTTTTAATTTTTGTTCATTAAACTTGCTTACATTTTGTTTTTTTCAAAATGGATTTTTTTAGGGGGTCACTTTGAAACAGGGTCTCCCTGTAGCCCCAGCTGTCCTGGAACTCACTATGTAGACCAGACTGGCCTTGAACTCAGAGGCCTGCCTGTGCCTCCCCAGCACTGGGATTAAAGGTGTATGCTACCAAGCCTGGCCAAAATGGATTATTTTTACAATTAAAATAGACACACAGAGATGAAGTTAAAAAGTATATACTCTTGGGACTCAGTAAAGTGTTTGCCATGCAAGCATTAGGACTTATGTTTGATACCCAGTTCTCATTTAAAGAGCCATTCTGGAGCGAGAGTTCAGTGATTAAGTGTTCTTTTCCAGAAAACATGAGTTCAGTTCCCAGCCCTCATGTCAGGCAACTCATAATGGCCTGTAACTCCAGCTCTAGGGGATCCAAACACCCTCTTCTGGCCTCCATGGGCATCTGCACACATGTAACATTCATTCATACAGACACATAAATAAAAACAATAAAAATAAATGTTTTTTAAATGCCAGTCATGATGTTAATTTGTAATTCCATAGCTGGAAGGCAGAGACAGGCAGGTACTTAGAGTTTGCTGGCCAACCAACCTAGCCTAATCACAAGCTCTAGGTCCCAGTGAGAGATTGTTTCAAAACTGTATAGATAGCTCCCAGGAACAACACCCAATGTGCATGCACACACACACACACACACACACACACACACACATTTCTGAATATAAACTTACACACCAAAAAAAAGAAAATTTTGTATGTATTTTGAATTTCAAGCTGTATATGGTGGCATATGCCTGCGCTCAGGAGACTGAGGCAAGAGGACTATGAGTTGAAGGCTGCCTACACACAGACTGATCAGACACCCTGTCCCAAGGTATAAGCATTAAAGATCTAAATTTACATTTATTTATAGTACTGAGGATTGAACAGTTCGATAAATATTAGGTAAGCACTGTCACTGAGCATACTTTCCAATTCTACACCTTAATATTTAGGAGTTAGTTAAATTTGGGAAGAATGGTACATCTGCCCAGATACTATGGGAACAAGGTTTTAAAAGAACAAAAAAATTAGCTGGGTGTGGTGGTATACACCTTTAGTCCCAGCACTCAGGAGGCAGAGGCAGGCCAATCTCTGTGAGTTCCAGGTCAGCTGGGGCTACAGGGAGACCTTGTCTCAAAAAGATAAAAGAACAAAAAAATTGAGTTTATCTTACTTCCTTTCCCTTCTGTGTATCTGTCTCTAAAACTCAAAAAGGAAACCTTGCCTCTTCTAAATGAGCCATTGCTTCTCAAAATGGCTCGAGTACATCCCAATAGTAATTACATTGTTGATGACCTGAAAATGGGTCATCCCACACAACTGATTAAAACTCTTATGCAATCTTCTTTTGGAGGAAACAAGGACAGCGTGTACAAATATTTCAACTCGATCCACTCCCTTAAGAGACGATGATACACATCTGTAGACACTACCAAGTTCTGAAAGAGCAGGAAAACTAAAGAAGTTAGGTTAGCCTGGTCATTTATCCAACCAATTGCATACTATATGATTACTTGAGGGAAAGGGCACAGTTAGTAAATAAACAATGTTTTAAATTTAGATATTTTAGGGCAGGGGATATATGTAGCCCAGTGATAGAGTGCTTGCCTAGGAAGTGCAAAGGCTGGGTCTGACTGCCAGCAATGGGGTAGAAAAAGGTCTTCTTGGATATAGTTTAGCAAGCTACAATGAATGGTTCAAGTCTGAGCTCTAGCTGCACTTCCACAGGGTTACTCCTAGCTTCTGCAGGTTCTACTGTTTCCTCTGAGTACAAATGTAAAAAGTAGTAAAACTAGACTGGGAATGCCAACTTCTCATCTTTAAAAAATTGGTATTAGCTGGGTGTGGTGACGCACCCTTTAGTCCCAGCACTCGGGAGGTAGAGACAGGTGGATTTCTGTGAGTTCAAGGCCAACCTGGTTTACCTAATGAGTCTAGGCCAGGTGGGGCTACAGGGAGACCCTGTCTCAAAAAGACCGAAAAAAAAAAAAAAAAAAAAGGTATTTATTATATATTTGAAATTTTAAATGGCTAAATAGAAACACTAAAGAGATGCATAAACCGGGATGGATGAGAAACCACAGCAGAATGCCCTCTGAGTGACACCTACATTCTGTTACCGTGGGATGAAGCCAAGGAGAGGCTTTGGTCCCTAGCCACACAGGTCTAACTGTCTCAGATTCAACACCTCACAGCATATATTCCTGTCTCGCCATCCCTAGGCTCTACAACATGGAGACCCTTGCAGCAATGAGGTAATTACTGACCCATTTATTCAGGAACATCTTCTGGGTGGATGTTGGATTTAAAAAACTCATGTAAGGACCTGAAGGAAACGAGCCTATTCAAATGAGGGCCATGAGTTCACCAGTCTAAGAAGGGGTTATAGATGCTCTTCTGTATTTTTAGAACATAAAACAGGATGTCAAGTAGTTATACATGGGGACACAGTTGCTACTATGAGAGGACTTAAGTCTGTGACTATCCTACTCTAACACACTATTTATCCCTAATCAGAAATGCTGAAGTCTAGAATCAAAGCAAAACTTCAGGATATTTTGGTCCATTTCTTTAAAAAAAGTTTTTGCTGGGAACAGGGGTTAGTTTAAACTTCAGGAGGTCAGGCTAAGTTCTGGACAGCCCCCAGCAGCAGTTAACTATTGGAATGTTGGCAATTCTCAACATGAGAATTTGTCTGACCACAGATGTTCAATTTTACTGTTATTTCAAATTGGTTAATATTTTATACTACTTTAAAGCCACAAAGAGACTGAAGAAAAAAAAAAGTTGACAATTTTTACCATTCTATGATTTCAAAATATTTTTAAAATACCTTTGTAGTACATAACACTAAAATATCTAAATTATCACTGAGTGTCTAACAGTAGGTGATAGGACAGTAACATTACTTCCTCCTATCAAGAGGAGGATGACGGAAAGGAGAAAAAAGCACCTCTTGCACAACCCACTGAGGCTGGCATTTTTCTATGTTCTGACTGAAAGACTATAAAGATTGAACATGGATAGAATGGAAAACGGACATTTCATACTAGGTACCAGAGTTGAGTTAATCACAGCAAAGGAACAGGTAGGCCTGACTTTTAAATGACAGACTTAGAACAGATACTACATATTCTTCAACAATCTGGTAATCAAAGTGAGATTTAAGAGAGAATGTGGTTTTGTTTTGTTTTGTTTTTATTGCTAGCAGCCTGAATGGGTAGTATATCTAAAGGTTACTGATTTCATTTGTCATTGAAAGAGAAAAATCAATATAATCATGTAAAGAATATGTTCAAAATGTCTTCTATAAGCCTATGGAAGTTTCTCCAACCAAAAAAAGTCAAAGGAAAATCCAAGAAAGGAAAAATTCAATTCAGTAATAATTTCTGGACTCAATCCATCTCCTAAAGAATACATTTTTTTTTTTCCCTCTTAGATTTCAGAAATGTCCAAGAAGAGAAACCAAATCATAACATACCTATAGATGGAGATTTGAAAGGGTATTTATCAGGAAGATCCACTCTAACTTTCCATACTCCACCTTCATATGGTGCTGGAATAGAAATAAAACACATTAAACATTAGAACTGTGTCTTCAAGTTAGAAAATAAGTCCGAATGTAATTTAAACATTAAATCCTCATCTTTTCTGAAAAAGGCTTCAAGCTAATTCCTTCAAGAGTCAGAAACCAGCTGGACACGGTGATTTAGGCATGCGATCCCAGCATTTAGGAAGAAAGACTGGAGGATTGCTTTGGGTTCTGAGACAGTCTGGGCTACACAGTAAGACCTGTCTCAAACAACAAAAACTGAACAAAACCAAAGCAACCAACCCCCCACTCCCCTGCCAAAAAGTTCAGAACCTACTATAACCAGTAGGTACTCCATGTTCAAATTATCTTGTTTTCCCTTAGGCTGGGCCAAAGAGAGCAGGCCTGTAATCCTAGCTCAGGAGGCTGAGGCAGGAGTATCAAAAGTTCCAAGGCCTGTTTGGACTAGCAAGCTCAAGCCAGCTTAAGCAACTTAATGAGACTCCTGTCTCAAATAAAAAGTAAAAAGGCTTGGCAGTGTAACTTGGCTGTAGAGCACTTACCTAGCACACACAAAGGCTGGCTTCAATCCCCAATACTAGAAAACAAAACAAAAAACTCCCATACTTTTGTTTAAAATATCGAGAGCTAATGAGTCATTCTCTCCTCTTACTTGATTCTGTTGAGCACTACTTGGTAATGCCTCTACCTCCCAAGTGCTGGGATTATAGGCCCAATGGCTCAATGATAAGTTTCTTAAGAAACATTCTGTGGGGCTGGAGAGTTGGGTCAGCGGTTAAGAGCACTGGCTGCTCTTGCAGACGACCTGAGTTCTATTCCCAGCACCCACATGGTAGCTAACAACCCTAGGTAACTCCAGCTGTGGAGGAACTGACGCCCTCTTCTGACCTCCACAGGCATTGCGTGACACAGGTACACTCATATACACACAAGCAAAACACTCATAACACATAAAGTAAAAACATATTTATTTATTTAATTAAAAAAAATTTTTTTTTGTCTTTTCAAGACAGGGTCTCCCTGTAGCCCCAGCTGGCCTGGAACTCGCTATGCACACCAGGCTGCCATTGAACTCACAGAGATTCACCTGCCTCTGGCTCCCGAGTGCTGAGATTAAAGATGTACACCACTGGGTCCAGTCCAAAAAATATATTTAAATAAACATTCACGAGGTCATGTAACAGAACCCATAACTCAACTCATAGAAGAAATTGTAAAGAAGATTTCCTTACTCGCTGACTCTAGTAATCAGCTCAATTTACTTTTCTAAGACTATGTACCCCTGTCTTTGATAGTCCTATTGTCTATTAAGAATAAAAGGCTATAATAGAAGAACACATACCAACACATGTACTTACTTCCTTGTGGTCCATAAAACTTCACTACAAATTCATTGAGTCCTCCTAGGATTGTAACCTCATGCTTGCTTTCAATGCTGAGGTGAAAAGTAAAGGAAATTTCACAGGCTTATGAACTACGCATGATATCCCCAAGACATGTCAGTTAAATAAAGTGTTACCAAAGCATGATACAATACTGTTAAGTAATAAAATATGTATGTAACAATTCTAGTGGTTTGAGAGACAATTTATACCCCTTATAAAAAGCTTTGAAAGCTTTTGAGCTTTGGATTCAGGGATCAGAGATAATACTTTTAGATTGCTTCCTCAAACACTTGCCTGGCTTTGAGACGCTCACTCCTTTAAAGTAGTAAGATTCAGGACTTAACGTATGATAGCTCATACCAAGTGCCTGCTACACAGGCATAAGGACATGGGTTTGAGGGTGGTGTACAGTTGTAATTCAACACTGGGGAGGCAGTCTAATCAATAAAACAAGGTGGTGGGGGAGAACTCCTCAGGAACAACACTTAAGGCTGACCTGTGGCCTCACATGCCTGTGCATGTACACATACAAATAGTAAAATTCACTTACTTTAAACCAAGTTAATCCACATTAGTAGAAAAGCAGACTATTGCTCTAAAATCAGTCTAGCTTCTGCTTCTGTGGTCCAACCCAGTAATGACTCTACAACAGGAATTTTAGGTGGTAGGGGCTCAAATCTCATTGTAATAATAAAAAAGAAACCTAGATATGATAGTCTGGTGTCATCCTTCTTAAACAACAGTGCAAACTCTATTTTAACATTCATTAAACAGAAACAAAAGAAATTTTTTTTGGGGGGGTCTTTTTGAGACAGGGTCTCCCTATGGCCCCAGCTGTCCTGGAACTCATTATGTAGAAGAGGCTGGCCTTGAACTCACAGAGATCCGCCTGCCTCTGCCTCCTAAGTGCTGGGATTAAAGGCACGTGCCACCACGCCTGGCAGTAAGAAATGATATTTTTTTAAAAATCTACTTTTATTGTTTTTATTTTTATCTATCTGTCTGAACTATTCTGTCACATGTGTGTAGGTATGCTCAGAGGCCAGAAGAGGGTGTTGGATCCACTGGATCTAGAGTTATAGGTTATAGCCACTGGATGCAGGTGCTGGGAACCGAACTGGGATCCTCTGAAAGAGCAGAACATGCTCTTAGCTGCTGAGCCATCTCTCCAGCCCCAAAATCAAAGAATTCTTTTTTGAGTCAGGGTCTCCCTGTACCCCAGGTAGCCTGGACCTTGCTATGTAGACTAGGCTGGTCTTGATCTCTCAGAGATCAGCCTGCCTCTGCCTCCTCAGTAGCAGGATTATTGGTGTGTGGTACCATGCTCAGCTTAATGATCTGCCTGCCCTCAAAGTCCTAATGATCCTCTTGCCTAATCTCCTAAGTACTATATTACAGCATGGTCTATGTCTGGCTTTAGAGTAGTTTTAGCCAGGCACGGTGGCACACGCTTTTAATTCCAGCACTAAGGAGGTAAAGGAGAAGCAGAAGACCCAGGTTCTATTCCTAGCACTTACATGATGGTGGCTCACACCCTAACTGTAACTCCAGCTCCAGGAGATCCAATGGCCTCTTCTGGCCTCCCCTGGCAATACATGCACATGGTGCACACATACTCTCAGGCAGAACACTCATACACATAAAACTAAAAAACACTTCCATAAAAAACCAACCAAACAAATAAAAAGGTATCTTTCCTGTCTGTAGAAGGATGCAATAAAACAGTGCCTTCCATTTTCTGGTTTGCTCAGGATTTAATCCATGTTTGCATCTACTTGACAAAGATTCTCCTTTCCTAAATCATGTTAAACAAGACTAGAAATCAATGGTCCTCTCTCCTTAGTATAACCCATATGCCAGATACAGCAAGGTCTCTAATCACACACTGAACCACACATTGATGAGTTCTTGTAGCAGCCCATTTCATGTGAGAAATTAAAGGCAAACTGAACGAAACTTTTAAAAACATCTACCAAGTTGGTAAAGAGAAACCGTTCTAAATTAAGCTGCCTTAGAATGGTACTGACAGTCACACAGAACAAAGGATTTCAAGTTTAGTCAAAAGAAAAACACCACACTGAAATAAGCATTCTATTACCACTAAATGGATGACCTACTACAAAAAATATAAAGTTACTTGACTGCAACTACCTATGGCAGAGACCACAGGCTTCTTTTTCCCTCTCTGCTGCCAAGTCAAAGGCAAGGGTGGCAAGAAGGCGGCCATTAAACAACAAAAATAATGATCCATTTCTGAAATGGGCTGGTCCGACTAGTAAACTGGTGGAAACTCATGAGAAGGTTCCTTTACTATTTTTAGTTTTATAAGATTTTTTCCACTACATTAAAAAAAAAAAAATTCTTCAGATACTGGTCTGATTAAAAAACACTCTTGGCCGGGCATGGTGGCGCACACCTTTAATCCCAGCACTACTTGGGAGGCAGAGGCAGGCGGATCTCTGTGAGTTTGAGGCCAGCCTGGTCTACATAGTGAATTCCAGGACAGCTGGGGCTACAGGGAAACCCTGTCTCAAAAAGACAAAAACAAACAAAAAAAACCTCTTAAACCTATAAATCACATTTTATTCAGTTCTAAGTTATTCACAGAAATACTAGTTTTTACCCACTTAGTGTTTTACCTTAAGGATTGCCACAATTATCAGCAGAACAGTATTTTTTAGTTGGGTTGTTTTGAGACAGGGTCTCCCTGTAGCCCCTGCTGGCCTAGAACTCACTATGTAGACCAGGCTGGCCTTGAACTCACAGAGATCCACCTACCTCTGCTTCCCAAGTGCTGGGATTAAAGGCTTGCATCACCACGCCCGGCTAGCAGAACAATGATTAGCATTCCGAGGAACCCAAGTCCAGCTCATTTTTTAAATTCTAGCCACCTTATTGCCCTTCAATGGCATTACAGTTACACAATCCAATATTCAGAGGTAAATGCCAAACTGTCAAAATATAAATGACATTCTTGACAAAATGTTGTCTATCAGGATTCAGAAAGGAAGACAAGGGCTAACAACTAAGACTGTGCCATAGGAATGACATTAGCAGGTCAAGAATCCAGAACTCAAATGACACTATGCCCTAAGCCTACTAATAATGCACTTACCAGGGAATTGGTCTCCAGAGCTGTAGCCCAAGAAAGGACTATGTGCTTTTGTGGAGAAGCAGAAGCAAGCTGCATGGCAGCTACTCTCCACATTCTGACCAATTTGTCCTCAACTCTCCTTGAGATTAATTACTTTCTTGTAAAAGATGTCTGTTAACCATCAATATGAAAATCATCACAAACACACCTTAGAAAGTAATGTTCACAAGGAATCCTCTTTTGGAGATACAATGGAAATATTTAGTATTTAAAATGTATGATACCAAGCCAGGCCTGGTGGTGCACACTTTTAATCCCAGCACTCGCGAGGCAGAGGCAGGCGATCTCTGTGAGTTCAAGGCCAGCCTGGTCTACATAGGGAGTTTCAGGCCTGCTGGGGCTACAGGGAGACCCTGTCTCAAAAAAGATTTAAAAAAAAAAAAAAAGAAAAAAGAAATAAAGAAATCTAGTACTTAATTAAAACTTCCAGCTTTCCTTTCTGCTCTTAGGGAATTATAAAATTAATTTCTTAACAAAAATATTTCTTGGTTAACTAGACCTAGAGGCAAAAAAATAATGAGCTCTGCACTGATATACTGTGCTCCAAGTCCCAGGAAGCATTTCCCTAGAGAAATGCTGTCATTCTCCAGCACCTCTCAGATGGAAACTATGGTACAGACAGGAGGGATGCTTAGAGATCTAGACCTGAAAATCTTCTGTGTGGCAGTAAATAAAACTACATCCCCGTGTGAGAATCCTGTCATTCCAAAGGCAGATTACCGCCTATCCACAGGAGCTGGCAACACAGAAGAAAAATAAATCAATCCTTCCCTTGATGACATCAGCATCTAACCTGGAAATCTTCCAAGTCATAGGCAACATATCATTTTCCCATAATGATATGGAGACATGCAAGTAACTGGGTGGTTCTCAGCAAAATCCTAAGGGAAACAGCTATTTTCAAAACATTCCATTTCTCCCTAAGGTCCATATCCATCTTTGCTATGCCATTCACAGTACTTAGGATGAAGTTCATCAATTAGGGGCTGGAGGTAGTAGATCAGTGGTTAAGAGCACTGGTTGCTCTTCCATAGGACTTCCCAGCACCCACACAGCAGCTAACAACTGTCCCTAATTCCAGTTCCAGGGGATTCAACACCCTTTCCTCTGAAGGCATTGCATTACACGAGTGCACCTACCTACATGTAGGCAATACACACATACACATAAAACAAAAATAATTTTTAAAAAAGTTTATCAAGCCAGCGTGATAGCACACGCCTTTAATCCCAGCAGTGGGGAGACAGAGGCAGGCAGATCTGTTTGAGTTCAAGGCCAGCCTGGTCTACATAGCAAGTTCCAGGCCAGAGAGACCCTGTCTCATAAAGATCAAAAAAAAAGTTCATCAATTATTATCAACTAAGGTTAATATGGCTTGATGGATTATCTATGTAGCAAAGTTGATATTCGTATTTCCAATGTTCTCTTCCCTAAAACATCTTGACCATTACTTCTTTTTCCTATGAAGTTACCACCCAGCAGGCTAGAAATGACATTAGTCTTAAGAGATGAAATAGGGGTGAGGAACTGCAGATCTTGAAGAGACTCTAGATAGGCTGACTAAACCCCAGTAGATGAACTTGCACTGAGGGATATCTCGGGATACTAACTTTACATAACAGGCCTTAACACAAATGACAGAATGCATGAACTCCAGTGAGAGGGCTATGGAAGGGTGCCAAAGGAGAAGGGGGAAGGGGGCATAAAGATGATTTTATGTAAGATACACAAAACTTCAATAAAAAATTATAAAAACAAAACAAGAAACATAACAATACCAAAACTTCAATAAAAAATTATAAAAACAAAATAAAAAACATGAATAACAATACCAAAACAAAAATGAAAAAATAAAACCACTCTTCCCCATTCAAAAGAGTTGCTCTCTTGTGGCTG